AACCGAACGGACTGTATATATCCGATGACAAGGAAGCTTGTCTTTGTTGCTTGTACGAGAGTCTAGAAATCCACGCAGTGATGACTGCGGCGTCGACTGCTGTAGATTCTCTAACCGATGCAATGATATTCGAATCGCATTGTTCACATTATGTTCTGCGGTCCGGCAGTCTTGGCTGTCCTCCATACTTAGCCATGCATAACTAGCTGCTTCGCTGCATCGTCGAACAGCAAACTTCGAAAAGCACATTTCAAGCTATCGCCCGTTGCTGTGCACGACTCGATCAAGGTGTCTATTACAACATGCCTCGATCTTGAAAACAGCAAGCAGACAGACACAGGGTCCATGTTATCTAATACCAAGGACCATGTTCTAGCCAAACAGCAGTTCCGCTGTTTTTCACTGTGTACTTCGCTGCTAATCACGTGGGCGGGAGAAAGGTGCATGTCGTTTTCGTGTCAGCAAAGTATCTTACCTTTTCCATCACTTTCTCTCTTGGAATTACAGTAGAACTGTTATGAGTTGGCTTTCCGCTGTCAGGATAGGAAGAACCGGGATGATCCACCACAAGATTCCCAAACAGCGGTTAGTCACTTCTGGTCCCTACCCGGAGCACTGTTAGTTAGAGGAACGGTTCGTTTGTGGAGGTGTGTGCACTCTCTTCCCAATGCCTGAAGTCACTCAGCTATTTCCAGGCCAGCTAAACCTGCACGGGGGCCGCAAGATAAAAGCGCGAGAGTCTGGCGCACTTCCTCCCGCTCATCGCCAGCATGCATGCCAATACCGATAAAAAAACAATGTTTTCGCTCCGTCAAACTCCGACATTTTCCTCGCTCCCTTTCCCTTTCTTCTGGCCGCCAGCAAGTCCAAGGTGTGTATATGCACGTCGACACAGACCTTGCAGTTATGCAAAGGCCAAATGGAGCAAAGTGCCAGTAACAGTGGAGGACACCTTGCCACTGCACTGTGGTCTCAGTGAGTGTGCTGTTGGCCAGTGTGCAAGCTCTTACATACCCAGTGGGGACATTGTCACTATCCATGATCTCACTATCGTAACAAACGGACGTATGGACGTATCATGACGGTGGAGCTGGACAGGATGCTGCAAGATTCCCCCCATGAACACTTCATTATCCTTGTGGAAGGTTTTCTTCTGGTGTTGTTAAGTTCTGTTCGCTGACTCGTCCACCAAGCCATTCATGTCTTCCACTCAAGTGTCCCTGCGACACTTTCACTCTGGCTGTGGCATGGAGTGTGTGTCTATGCTGTACAATTACAACCCATGCACTATGCATACACGTACTATTAGATCGAATCGAAACAACTAGTCGTGCAAGATTAGTGCATGGCGACTGATTGTCAGGTACAGACAGTGCATGATAATAATGCTGCTACTGTGATACTGCTGCTGCTGCTGCTGCTGGTGGTGGTTATTCGTCCATACTGTCCACACTGTGTAGCTAGTACTAGTGAGATGTACAAGCCGCCCAATGCTGAAACACTACTGGACTTGCCAAGCTTGTCCAAACTCCTATTGAGGGGAAACAACGGAGGTCACCAACTAGCTTCTTCATGTTGTCGACTGGCAAGCCATTATGAGGCAATTGAGAAGCTCAGCTCATAAACGCTCCTGTTCTAACTCTTTCCGTTAAAACTAGAGAAAACAAATGTCACCTGCAGTGCACTCTGACAAGCAAACCTTGAAAGCAATTTGCTTACCATCGTCCTCGTCCTCGTCTTCGTCCTCCAGACCAGCTTCGGTGGCTGCGTGTAATACATCCTCGCCCAGATCACAAGCAACGGCAGCTGCGGACACTACCGCTGTGGCATCGGCAAGGTCGCGGATGGCTGCGTCCATCAGATTCGGGTCTACTGCGGCCGAATCCGGTGAGAACTCATCTGTGTCGGCTGCCGAATCAGACACACTGACCACAGGGAGAGGTGCGTCCATGGTCATGCCCGCTACGGCAGCCACGGTTGAAGCGGAGGAGACGGGTTGCAGCTGTTCTACGCCTTGCTGAAAACTGTACAGGGCCATTTGCTGGGCGGCCTGCTCCGCGGTGAGGGCGCCATTGGCAAAGCTATAGGGAGGAAAGGCGTGCGTGTAGTTGTAGTCCGTCTGCATATCCATATTCTTCGTCTTCCAAGATCACAACAACAAACTTGCAGCAAGGTCTTGGGAAGATTGCAATGCTACTTTCAATTTCTGAATTCTGCTCTGTAGGGAATAAGTAACAAGACCTGGTTATAGTTGTAGTCCTGACTAGTGACAGAATGGTACACGATGGTCAACAGACCTATGCTCTCTACATCTAATCTACTAGTGGGGTGGTGTGTACAGCGGGGAGCTTAGCAGTTAGCTGCCACAGCCACAGAGACGGCGAAGCGAAGCTGGGCATGCGCTGGGATTGGGATGCTGCTGGCAGTGCTGCTGCTGCTGCCCTCGGGATTACAGAAGTTGCTTGATCGCTTTCAGGAACTAGAAGCAATTACGTTGACGAGTAGTGAACGAGTGGCGAGCGGCCTTCGCGACTTGCTAGTTAATGCGCCCCAGTCTTCGGCGGGAGCAGCTCGGCCCAGGAAACATGCGTCGACGTTACGGCATGGGAGCAGCGACGACACCCTCAGCCAGATAGAACACAGAGGGGGGGGGGGAGAGGGGGGGGGGGGCTATCATGCAGACCGACCCAGGCTAGGTTACCTTCAACATTCACGGAGAGTCTGAGAGAAAGAGAGAGAGCGAGCGAGAGAATGTTTGGCTAGGGAAACAGTTAGAGTAACAAGCCTAGAGATAAGCAAACATCATCATTCCCATCGCTGGCCATCAAAATGGCACGATGAGGGGCACGATGAGGCATCAGGCCGCAAAGCCAACACGTGAAAACCGAAGAGGAGCTGCGCTCACTACCTGCAGCCTGATGCAGACCGGACGTGGCGATCAGCAGCCACAGCTGCAGCTAATGCTTCTCTAAACACATGCAACACAATACTTCACACGTTTCGCACCTTCCCTAGGAAAGAGATCGGCACCAGAAGCACGTGACAATACTTCTACCATTGGCATTACTGCCATTAGTCCCATTTCTCACATACACGAAGCTTCTTTACCGCGCGTCTGCTGCGTCCCATCTCCACTAATAAACTATAGGAAGCGATGATTTTGTACCGAATTACATTAGCCTAACTCCAGAGCCCGTCTTGTAATGGGGCTTAGCAGGGTCGCCACAACCCTCCACCGCGAAGACTCTCGGTCCTTGCAAGTACACGTACACGTACATGCAGTCACAAACACGTGTGTGCTGCGTAAGTCAGGGACGGGATTAGGTAACTGACGTGTTACTTTCACTTTTCGCACGGTGGAATCATTACACATGTATGACTGGGTCTGTATTTTGTCGACTAGTTCATCCAGGTGACTTGCTGAATAGCGGCGCCATTCCTGCAGACAATGACAGTTTGAAGAATTGTGCAACGATGGCCACTGTATGGACGGAAGATCATTGCTTCACATCGCCATAGACATAGACATGCATTACTGTATGGACGGAAGATCATTGCTTCACATCGCCATAGACATGCATTACTAGTGTACTGCTCCCGTTACAGTATTGCGGTGAATCTCGGATGAGGATCGTAGACGATCAGATACGAAGTTCATCAGTTCATCTGCATACCTTGATCACTGATCATGCTGATAAATTCATCAAATACGAGATCGGTGCTAGCTACACTATGGCCAGCATGGGCGCCTCAAACGCCCAGAATGGACCAAACTGCAGTCGATCCGCTCAATGCTAACATTATCGCACGGTTTATGTTGATGTTATAATAATTATGATGGGTATCTGCCCATCTGGGTATCTGCCTATGATGGGTATCTGCCTATCTGGCAATCAAGCGCGAGCTCAGTGTGGACGAGATCTCATGTTGCGCTACTGTGTGTGAGAATTCATGAACCGATCCTCCTGTACTCCTTCGCCCTCGGCTCATGTCTGTGACATTGACTCTGCCACCCCACTATCCCACTGCTCTACTTCAGTAACATCAGTAATACTACATGTAGTACATAAGAGAACTACACGTATTGCTAACCCTTATCCGTCCGTACATACACATTTCGACGGGTAGCATTGTCGGGTTAGACAATGCTACGTATTTGCGCTGAGAAAGGGTAGAAAATTAGAAATGGTTAGGTGGGTTTCGAGCGTAAACCAATAATATTATGTTACCACAGATCCTAACAAATAACAGCACGCGTGCAGTGCTACTAGTAATGAAACTACAATCATGTAACTTCAATTGTAAATGTGCTAGCCGCTCTTGGATTCTGTGGGCTGTGGACCAGTTACTAACGTCGCTAGAGAAGATGGTCGCACTGTCCGTAGGTGCATTAGTCATCTCACTTGCACTGTTGCACCATGACCTCTCGATCTCTACACCCCCTATCCCTCCATTCGATCATCCACTCTACACAAGACTGCAGCCAGACACTCAGACACCATGCACTCAATGACAGGATGATTGCCGAGGGCAAGATGGCTACTGCGCGCCTGCTTGGGGGAAACCCTACCACACTGTGACAGTACCAACCCATCCACAATAGTCTGACTAAACCGCTTTAGTGGCTGTGTGTTCCGCCATCTTCTACACCACGGGCACAATGTACTGTGGTCCAGGAATCGGGTGTACCTACGGTCCTTGACCTTGGCCAGGCCTTACCAAGTCTGCGCGGGCGCTCATGACTGATGACATAGCTCTCAGTACACACGAGAACGACGTGATGTGCATATGTGGGGCATATGCGATGCAAAGCCTAGCGAGGCAAGACGGGTAGAATCGTGAGTGACGATGCCGAACCTGGACGTGCAAACACTGGGACGAGAGTGTCGTGTTTGTTCAGCATGTAGCACTCCTATCTGCCATTAGCAGCGAGTTTGTGTAAGGTGTCCCGGCGGACGGGCTTCCTTATTCATCGGAAGAGTTCCGGAACTCGTCCATAGTTTAGCCGGTCACAACGCATTGCCGGTTGGAGCAGCCGAACGCAGGAACACAGCCTCGACAAGCAAACTATTAATTACGGCAGCACTGCAAAAATAATTTCACCCGTCGTCTGGGCGATACTGGCGGTCAGTTTGACCATGCCGTGCCACTGCAATACTGCCAATAGTGCATAGTTCAGATGCATAGTTCAGATTCGAATGTGTAGCGATCAAGGTGTGCAAACAGGGATCTATCTGGCCTATTCTGGGTGATCTGGTGATGTGGTGGCTTGGCCTGGTAGTGCCCACCATAAAGCTGCGGATGCACTGCAGCACAGCCCCAAACTGGGTCATACTGCTATTGCTGGCCAGTACTCATGGTACTGGCCCATTGCCATTGGCGTAGGTTCGCTGGTGATTATGGTGTGCATGTGGGGCATAAAGATATCATCAATGGAATAACACACAGAAGCGGTGCGGACCTTGCACTGCGGAGGTGCCAGGCCAACAAAACATCATAACAGCTTGTCTGTGTGTGTGTGTCTGTGCCGCCGCAGCACCAGAAGAAGCCATTTCTCACCTCCAGGCTCATACCATAGTCCTAGGCCCCTGCTCCTAGTCTGAGTGCACTGTCGGTGTATCTGTGATCACGAACATCGCAATGTTGTTCCTGTTTGAATGCTAACACCCACACATCGCCACTACAAAACACTGCTACTGGCAGAGTTATTACTGCTGTATCAGTGGAGAGACTGGCTGAAGGTAAACCCATAAAAAGAGATGAAAGGTTTCTGTGAGCAGGGGTTAAATGAACACAGCATACGTGTAGATCATTACATTTTGAGTAGTAGACTGCACGTGATGATAAACCTTGAAGATCATCACCATGCATAGACATAGTGGTACACGTAGTTTGTCGTACTCATGTCTTCACCAACATGCCTACACATGGTCTTCAGGTCTTGCCACAGCTACATCATCGGACATGGTATTAGATTATAGATAAACCTTGTTTTGTCGAAACATGGTGTTGGTTGAGAGTAAGAAAATCCGAATCGACTTTAATACACCCAAGCAGGATCTTAATAGAAAAGCTAACATTGCATCTCTTCTTTACATCTCTTCTTTACCGCAGGCAGTTTATAAGCTTAGTTACCATGCACAAATTTATTTTCAAGTATCGACGTTGCCTAGCTTCATTCCATTTCAATATCACACAGAGTGCGAGACGCCCAAACAAAATTATTCTCCCTAAAGCAAAGACCACATCAAAATCGTTGTTTCTCTTCCAAACCTCCCTCTTATGGAACTGCCTCCCACCAAGACTAACTGCAGAACCATCCATTATTGTTTTCAAGAATGAGCTTCGCAAACTCACTTGCAAACATAGTGCTTCGCTCTCCGGTATGCCTACGCCATGTACATAACCCCTCTGTGTGCTCCCCAACGCATTCACGCTGCACAACTTTTACTTTCCACTACTTTCACTTTAGCTCATACATGTACATCGTCATGTACAAGTACACAAAGTGGTGAACCCCCGGCCTTGATAGGCGACAAGTCTGGGTCATCCTAATAAAGATATTAGTGTAAGTAAGATCACTGTTGTTTGCGAACACGGTGGTCTCCACCTTGTTACATGCTGTCAACCAACATCATCCGTGATCGGACATGCACTTCGGAGTAACGAGGGTTACGTTAGCAGGGACTGGCCTGTGTTGCTTACATGTATGCATTGCCTATGGAAAGAACTTACTTCAAAGAAGTCCACCCTGCGCAGGTGTCTGATAAAGCAATACACCACGGGCTTGTCTCATCCAGGGAGAAGTACAATGTATTGTACTACTCCCTGGTCTCATCTACTACAACTTAAGCCCCTCCTCAGGTAGCACTGTGACCATGGTGATCACTGTGACCATGGTGATCGGGTGTTCAAAACGCTGTCTGAGGCCCAGCACTCCGCAGCTGAGCTTTCAAAGTATGCTGTATCACCAAGAGGCCATAACAGTACGCACAGCTGCATCTCAATATTGTCAAGAGTACCTAACCCCCCCCCCCCCCCCCCCAGCCGGGTTACCAGTACTACTACTAGTACGTACTTTTGATATTGTGCATAGACGTGGGTATGATGCTTTCATGGCGACACTGGACCAAACAAGTCTTGGCAGCAGCTCCACAGCTCTTTCACAGGCCATGGCATTGAATACACTAGTGCAGTGCACAACATCTGCAAAGGGAGAATCACCCCTGGTCAGTCTTCAGTCGGCACAGACTGGAATATAGCCACTTGACAGTCATGGTTGAAGAAAACCAGTCCTGCTGTTTCATCCCGACCACCACAGAAACACCGTGCATAAGAAAATCAGGTGTGCGAGAGACTTCAGAAGGCAGATACAGTCATGTTGAAACTTGACAGTGAGTAACTACGTATGTTTTACTACAAACTATTAAGGATGTGTTACATAAAACGAAGATATTCCTAATTTTGTGTAATGTGCATTAAAAAAAGGGGCAGAAGTTTTGACAATTTTGATAGTCTTATATTATGTAAAGTGGCTAGTTTGTGTTAAAGCTGGCATGCCCGCATGCCAGGTAAGATACTTCAAGTTCGACATTTGATGAAATAGAAAAGAAAATCTGAAAACAATGGGATAACTATGTTCAAATATGGTAAGGAGTAATTCAGAAATAGTAATATGTATTATTTACAGGCTTTGGAAGAGGCTATTCTCGAGACTGCCGCTGCTATAATACTAGCAATGAAACCAAGAAATAGATATGGAAACAAGAATAGCGCTCTGACCTTGAGTGGTGTGTGTTCTACCCTCGGTACTGCACTACGCAGTCAAGAACCATAGCTGCTAGAACACGGTACAGAAATGCGGACTCGGTCAAGCGGAACTGTTCAGTGTAGCTGCTGCAATGGCTGAGACAGCTTGTCGGTGATCTTGGTGGCAGCAAAGCGTCTGAAACACACCTCCATGTAGGGCAAATAGACGCGAGCCGATCCGTTCGGCGGCAACAGAGCCAGGAAGTGACTGGGCTCCAGCAATTCTGCAACATACGACAAGGCATCTGTACAACGGCCAGGTTGGATAACGAGAACACAGAGTTAATAACACTAATATGGGAGGTACTCTAGACTTTCCAATCACGACCGTCCAAGGAATCAGCACAATGCATCGGGCCGGGGGGGGGAGGAGGGACATAGGCACACAGGTAGGCAGACAGACAGACAGACAGGCATAGACATATATAGACCGCCAGAGAGATAGGAAGACACACAGACACACAGACACACAGGCAGTCAAACAGGGATGCAAACAGGCAAACAGACAGACGGACAGAGAGACAGACAGGTACATACATACGCACAGGTGGGGTACGAAAGACATGCATGAGAAATGAACAGATGAGCAAATCACCCAACTCACCAAGGTACACCTGTCTGTATTTAGCAGCAACATCCGCTGTGCCTGAACAACCTGCTGCAGCAACAGGCTTACTCGGCACAGACACTACTGCCTGTCCATCCGCTGGCTGTTGTTGCTGCTGCTGCTGCTGGTCATGCTGATTGCAGAGGGCAAGTAGCTTTTGCATTAGCGACCTCCACTGTATAGAAAACAGCATCAGCATCAGTAGCAGTAGGCATGAGTAAAGGGTTACCGGTACTACATATAGACAAGGTTTCCTTTCTCCTTTCCTCCCTTGCAAGACTTCCTTACACAGGAGAGCCCCTCGATAGGCTCCCGCAGCCTTCGGTCAATCCTTAAATAAAAATCAACCGATCAATCAATCCTTGCTCTGCGGATACATACATTACAAGTGCTACATACAGACAAGGTTTCCCCTCTCCTTGGTCTATGGCTACATACATTGCATGTACTACAGGTCATGTACTGGTGTGCGTAGAGCAGGTGCAGCACAGCATACTGGCATGTAAACGTTTGTTTAAACTGTACTGTACCTTGCCGGAGTCTGCACCAAAGTGCGCCTTGGCCAGTGCCAGGGAAACGTGCGGGTAGGATTTGAGCAACAGCTGTGCAGCCTGCACACACACACCCACGCACACACACACACGCACGCACACACGCACACACACACACACACACACACACACACACACACACACACACACACACACACAGTGGTTAAAAGCAAAACAGAGCGAACGCACCCATCACAGTGATAGTGATACTTATAAGGCCTGGAAATTCTGGAAGTATTCATTGCTCCAACTCAACCCATGCTAAGAAGAGGTTGGTGCGACTTCGACACACACATTTCAACCCATGCTAAATCATCCAAACATATTACGTACGACTTGTATGCATACACTGTACGCCAGAATGCATTGCACATACAGGTGGTAAATGTAGCTAGTCATATACATTACATACAGAAGAAAGATAAACCATTTGAAAAGTACTATGACCATTGTGAACCGCAATATGCCCATTGTGCAATGATGTAATTTGTACCATGAATACCCCACTCCATATTTGGCAATGCGCAATGGGTTCACTGCCCAACACTGCTCAACACTGCACAACACTGCACAACACTGCACAGCACTGTACAACACTACCCAACACTACCCAACACTGCACAGCACTGCACAACACTGCACAACACTGCACAACACTGCACAACACTGCACAACACTACCCAACACTGCACAACACTGCACAACACTACCCAGCACTGCACAGCACTGCACAACACTGCACAACACTGCACAACACTGCACAGCACTGCACAGCACTGTACAACACTACCCAACACTGCACAGCACTGCACAGCACTGCACAACACTGCACAACACTGCACAGCACTGCACAACACTGCACAACACTGCACAACACTGCACAGCACTGTACAACACTACCCAACACTGCACAACACTGCACAACACTGCACAACACTGCACAGCACTGCACAACACTGCACAACACTACCCAGCACTGCACAACACTGCACAGCACTGCACAACACTGCACAACACTACCCAACACTGCACAACACTACCCAACACTGCACAGCACTGCACAACACTGCACAGCACTGCACAACACTGCACAACACTGCACAACACTGCACAACACTGCACAACACTACCCAACACTGCACAACACTGCACAACACTACCCAACACTGCACAACACTGCACAACACTGCACAACACTGCACAACACTGCACAACACTGCACAACACTGCACAGCACTGTACAACACTACCCAACACTGCACAACACTGCACAACACTGCACAACACTGCACAACACTGCACAACACTGCACAACACTGCACAACACTGCACAGCACTGCACAACACTGCACAACACTGCACAACACTGTACAACACTACCCAACACTGCACAGCACTGCACAGCACTGCACAACACTGCACAGCACTGCACAACACTGCACAACACTGCACAGCACTGCACAACACTGCACAACACTGCACAACACTGCACAACACTGCACAACACTGTACAACACTGCACAGCACTGTACAACACTACCCAACACTGCACAACACTGCACAACACTGCACAACACTGCACAACACTGCACAACACTGCACAACACTGCACAGCACTGCACAACACTGCACAACACTGCACAACACTGTACAACACTACCCAACACTGCACAGCACTGCACAGCACTGCACAGCACTGCACAACACTACCCAGCACTGCACAACACTGCACAGCACTGCACAGCACAACACTGCACAACACTGCACAGCACTGCACAGCACTGCACAGCACTGCACAGCACTGCACAACACTGCACAACACTGCACAACACTGCACAACACTGCACAACACTGCACAGCACTGCACAGCACTGCACAACACTACCCAACACTGCACAGCACTGCACAGCACTGCACAGCACTGCACAACACTGCACAACACTGCACAACACTGCACAGCACTGTACAACACTGCACAACACTGCACAACACTGCACAACACTGCACAACACTGTACAACACTACCCAACACTGCACAACACTGCACAACACTGCACAACACTGCACAGCACTGTACAACACTGCACAACACTGCACAACACTGCACAACACTGCACAACACTGCACAACACTGCACAACACTGCACAACACTGCACAACACTGCACAACACTGCACAGCACTGCACAACACTGCACAACACTGCACAACACTGTACAACACTACCCAACACTGCACAGCACTGCACAGCACTGCACAACACTACCCAGCACTGCACAACACTGCACAGCACTGCACAACACTGCACAACACTGCACAACACTGCACAACACTGCACAACACTACCCAACACTGTACAACACTGTACAACACTGTACAACACTGCACAACACTGCACAACACTGTACAACACTACCCAACACTGCACAACACTGCACAACACTGTACAACACTGTACAACACTGCACAACACTGCACAACACTGCACAACACTGCACAACACTGCACAACACTGCACAACACTGCACAACACTGCACAACACTGCACAACACTGCACAACACTGCACAACACTGTACAACACTACCCAACACTGCACAACACTGCACAACACTGCACAACACTGCACAGCACTGTACAACACTGCACAACACTGCACAACACTGCACAACACTGCACAACACTGTACAACACTACCCAACACTGCACAACACTGCACAACACTGCACAACACTGCACAGCACTGTACAACACTGCACAACACTGCACAACACTGCACAACACTGCACAACACTGCACAACACTGCACAACACTGCACAACACTGCACAACACTGCACAACACTGCACAGCACTGCACAACACTGCACAACACTGCACAACACTGTACAACACTACCCAACACTGCACAGCACTGCACAGCACTGCACAACACTACCCAGCACTGCACAACACTGCACAGCACTGCACAACACTGCACAACACTGCACAACACTGCACAACACTGCACAACACTACCCAACACTGTACAACACTGTACAACACTGTACAACACTGCACAACACTGCACAACACTGTACAACACTACCCAACACTGCACAACACTGCACAACACTGTACAACACTGTACAACACTGCACAACACTGCACAACACTGCACAACACTGCACAACACTGCACAACACTGCACAACACTGCACAACACTGCACAACACTGCACAACACTGCACAACACTGCACAACACTGTACAACACTACCCAACACTGCACAACACTGCACAACACTGCACAGCACTGCACAACACTGCACAACACTACCCAACACTGCACAGCACTGCACAGCACTGCACAACACTGCACAACACTGCACAGCACTGCACAGCACTGCACAACACTGTACAACACTACCCAACACTGCACAACACTGCACAACACTGTACAACACTGTACAACACTGCACAACACTGCACAACACTGCACAACACTGTACAACACTGCACAACACTGCAAAACACTGCACAACACTGCACAACACTGCACAACACTGCACAACACTGCACAACACTGCACAACACTGCACAACACTGTACAACACTACCCAACACTGCACAACACTGCACAACACTGCACAGCACTGCACAACACTGCACAACACTGCACAACACTACCCAACACTGCACAGCACTGCACAGCACTGCACAACACTACCCAGCACTGCACAACACTGCACAGCACTGCACAGCACTGCACAACACTGCACAACACTGCACAACACTGCACAGCACTGCACAGCACTGCACAACACTGCACAACACTGCACAACACTGCACAACACTGCACAACACTGCACAACACTGCACAACACTGTACAACACTACCCAACACTGCACAACACTGCACAACACTGCACAACACTGCACAACACTGCACAACACTGCACAACACTGCACAACACTGCACAACACTACCCAACACTGCACAGCACTGCACAGCACTGCACAACACTGCACAACACTACCCAGCACTGCACAACACTGCACAGCACTGCACAACACTGCACAACACTGCACAACACTACCCAACACTGCACAACACTGCACAGCACTGCACAACACTGCACAACACTACCCAGCACTGCACAGCACTGTACAACACTACCCAACACTGCACAACACTACCCAACACTGCACAACACTGCACAACACTGCACAACACTGCACAACACTGCACAACACTGTACAACACTGCACAACACTGCACAACACTGCACAACACTGCACAACACTGCACAACACTGCACAGCACTGTACAACACTGCACAACACTGCACAACACTGCACAACACTGTACAACACTGCACAACACTGCACAACACTACCCAACACTGCACAACACTGCACAACACTGCACAACACTGCACAGCACTGTACAACACTGCACAACACTGCACAACACTGTACAACACTGCACAACACTGCACAACACTGCACAGCACTGTACAACACTGCACAACACTGCACAACACTACCCAGCACTGCACAGCACTGTACAACACTACCCAACACTGCACAACACTACCCAACACTGCACAACACTGCACAACACTGCACAACACTGCACAACACTGTACAACACTACCCAACACTGCACAGCACTACCCAACACTGCACAACACTGCACAACACTGCACAACACTGCACAACACTGCACAACACTGCACAACACTGTACAACACTGCACAACACTGCACAACACTGCACAACACTGCACAACACTGCACAACACTACCCAACACTGCACAGCACTACCCAACACTGCACAACACTGCACAACACTGCACAACACTGCACAACACTGCACAACACTGCACAACACTGTACAACACTGCACAACACTGCACAACACTGCACAACACTGCACAACACTGCACAACACTGCACAGCACTGTACAACACTGCACAACACTGCACAACACTGCACAACACTGTACAACACTGCACAACACTGCACAACACTACCCAACACTGCACAACACTGCACAACACTGCACAACACTGCACAGCACTGCACAACACTGCACAACACTGCACAGCACTGTACAACACTGCACAACACTGCACAGCACTGTACAACACTGCACAACACTGCACAACACTGCACAACACTGCACAACACTACCCAACACTGCACAACACTGCACAACACTGTACAACACTGCACAACACTGCACAACACTACCCAACACTGCACAACACTGCACAACACTGCACAACACTGCACAGCACTGTACAACACTGCACAACACTGCACAACACTGCACAACACTGTACAACACTGCACAACACTGCACAACACTGCACAGCACTGTACAACACTGCACAACACTGCACAACACTGCACAACACTGCACAACACTACCCAGCACTGCACAGCACTGTACAACACTACCCAACACTGCACAACACTACCCAACACTGCACAACACTGCACAACACTGCACAACACTGCACAACACTGTACAACACTACCCAACACTGCACAACACTACCCAACACTGCACAGCACTACCCAACACTGTACAACACTGCACAGCACTGCACAACACTGTACAACACTGCACAACACTACCCAACACTGCACAACACTGCACAACACTGCACAACACTGCACAACACTGCACAACACTACCCAGCACTGCACAGCACTGTACAACACTACCCAACACTGCACAACACTACCCAACACTGCACAACACTGCACAACACTGCACAACACTGCACAACACTGTACAACACTACCCAACACTGCACAACACTACCCAACACTGCACAGCACTACCCAACACTGTACAACACTGCACAGCACTGCACAACACTGCACAACACTGCACAACACTACCCAACACTGCACAACACTGTACAACACTGCACAACACTGCACAACACTGCACAACACTGCACAACACTGCACAACACTGCACAACACTGCACAACACTGCACAACACTGCACAGCACTGTACAACACTGCACAACACTGCACAACACTGCACAACACTGTACAACACTACCCAACACTGCACAACACTACCCAACACTGCACAACACTACCCAACACTGCACAGCACTGCACAACACTGCACAACACTGCACAGCACTGTACAACACTGCACAACACTGCACAACACTGCACAACACTGCACAACACTACCCAGCACTGCACAGCACTGTACAACACTACCCAACACTGCACAACACTACCCAACACTGCACAACACTGCACAACACTGCACAACACTGCACAACACTGCACAACACTGTACAACACTGCACAACACTGCACAACACTACCCAACACTGCACAACACTGTACAACACTGCACAACACTGCACAACACTGCACAACACTGCACAACACTGCACAACACTGCACAACACTGCACAGCACTGCACAACACTGCACAGCAATGCACAACACTACCCAACACTGCACACTACGTTAAGAAAAGCACACTAGCTTACCACAACATGCCGGTCAAGGCGCAGGCAACACACGGCCTGCAGAGACAGCCAAGCCGCCTCCATCACCGCGTTGTCCGACCAAGATAAGAACGACGGCGAACCGGACCGTCCCGGAGACGATGACGTCGAGCTGGCCATCGGTGGTGCCGGTGCATCCTGAGCTTGCAACTGCTGCAAGAGACTAGACGCTAGCTGCCTGCTAACAGCTCGCCAGCATAACAAGCTCTGCATGGGTGCGGAAGTAGATGTAACAGACCATGACGATGAGTACATGTCCGTCGGGTATTGCACGGACAAGAGACAATGACCAGGAGTACGGGTAATACATGTACAAGAGAAACGGTAGCAGCACCTCTCAACAACGGGCACACAGCATTCTGGTCAGAGGAGTGCCAAATGTGTCATAAGGCAGCAGTAGCAAAAGAAAAAGAGAAAAAACCTAACTGCGTTGATTGCATTGATTGGCTCAGGTAGCCTACATGAAACTAACCTGTATAGATACAAGGTCAATGAAGGCACATGTACATTCACGAGGATGCTGTACACTTGCCACCCTGTCACCAGTTGCTGCAGCTACCGCCGCTGTAGCATTGCGTGATTTGAGTAAGAGTTGAGCTAGTGGACTTGACGAACGTGTCAAGCGTAGCACAGGTGATGAACCTGCTGCCGACGTACTGCTACTGGCTACATGATAGCTGAGCGAACATGTGACCTGTGTACCACCTGTTGTACACCACAACATAGACATGTACACATAAGTACACGGATACACAAACACACACACACACACACACACACACGTGCACACACACACACACACGTGGACACATGCACACACAGCATCAGGAGTGTTATCAAGCTATGTGCTTTCGACAAACGTACACGAGACAGACACATGTGTAAGTGATTCTAATAGAGAAATAAGATGCACATCACCCACATTGGGCAGACACCGGCTGGTGTGTGTGTGGGGGGGGGGGGGGGGGCAGGGTCCAGCCACACAAGTCACATCAGTCCACAGCACACGTTCACCGGTGCGAGGCCACACTCACACGTATTGGTCTACCAGTGTGCATTGGGCTTTCATGCAGCTTGTGTCTGTACGCTAGCTCACACTCAAGTCGAGTGCATCACCATGGCACTAGTGTGACAGGTTGACCTGAGTACGCAGCTACACACGTTCATGTTCGTGTCGAGTTCATCTCAATGTCTCAATGCGACATTGATGCTCGCCGTAGCTCTGAGAAAATCAATAACTCAACGACGATCGTTCAGATACGCATGTTGTCTCCTTGTCACAGACCTGCTTCCCACGGTACATAATCACATGTACATACGTAATGTGTGTGTGCTACTCAGGTGTGGTGTGGCAAGTTTGCCTAGCCGGGTGCGACTCACTCACAGGTAAACGGAGGCAGCATGTTCAGCCACTCATAGCGACGAGCGAAATGTCCACCGCTGGGTGCCTGTACAGACACACCCACCCACACACACACACATGCACACACACACATGGACACACACACACACACACACACACACACACACACACACACACACACACACACAATGAGTAGGTCTATGAAACACAAGCCAGTTAGCATCAAGCAATTGGACACCTTTGCACAGCTGCGTTGAAGTCTCAAGTTAGAACGTATCAACTGTGCATGCACAAGGCATGCACAGTGTGACTGGATGCGGAGAGGAGGTGAAGTAGAAATACAAATTGGAGGAGCCTTGGCGAACTCCAATTAGAGTTCTACGAGCCTCCTCGTAGCATCCAGGAGCACTGTGCACCCAGCCAGTTCAAAGGTTGAATGTACCCACCCTATAAATGCCTGACGGAAGCTTTTAAAAAGAACTGACTTGGCCACGTGCGCGCATGCGCATATGGGCCGGAAGAGACGAAAAAGGGAAAATTATTCTTCGTGAAATCTTTAAAATTTGCGAATCTGTGATTACTGCGTACACACACACACACACACGCACACACACACACACGGACAATTCTCATCCGATGGAAAAGAGAGGCATGTGCAGAATGATGAAAGTCTTGAGTGCTACACACCTGAGCATTGCCTGTGACCTGCTTCATACTGAGACAGTGCTGAAAACGCTCCAGGTAGATTTTACATGCTAGACCCTGGGGGACAGCAGACAAGAACAGGCCAACAGCACATAATAATTACAATAGTGTATTCAGAGAGGACCATGAGAAACCATTGTCTTCAATGCAAAATGGACATGTTTCACACCAAGTTTGGCATCCACTTTACTGTACTCAGTAAAAAATGAATAAATAAGTTACTGGACAACCGGTTAACGACCAATTTTTTTTCGTTATTCGAAGAAACGTTATCGCGAACCCGGTTCGAGATGTCTGTGTATATGTGCATACATCGATGCATATTCTGGGTGGCTAGGTAGCCAGCGTCAAACTTTCTGCACGTTATCATGCCAAAACTACAAAAACGTTAAACTCTTTGATCGTTAAACTTTCCGGTTTTACAGTATAAAGAAGTTGAGTGGATGCCAAAAATGGCATGGCAGTAGATAGTAAGGCAAAGGGCAGTCTTCAATAGACGGGTGCAGTGATACAAATATTGACAATTGAAAACCAGTAGATTGGGTACTGTGTCTAGGTCACCCTGCTACATACTTAATACTATGCTACCATGCATTCTATACCACTGGGTTTGCTACTCCAGCCCCACCAGCAATAGCAGCAGCCCAACAAACACACATGTGCAATTGGCATCAAGGAAATCCCGGCACGACTCTGCACTGCTTATGCTACTTTGTGCACAAAACCTGAACATGTCATGGCGCTAAGCCACAGCGCAAGACTGGATTTCTTGGATTTCTTTGATGATGGTTGTAAATTGTACGTTGTATCTGACAGTAGAACAGAATTCTCAAAACCCTTGCATTCTTGTTTGGCCACACTGCATCATTATTGTTCAACTTAAAACACTTACTGCAGCGACTTCATAACTGTGGGTTTGAGCATCATCTGAGTAGGCAAAAACACAATAAAATACAATTTGAAGAATGGACAGTTCCTGACTCACTGTCTTGTAGAAGTACCGTAAAGTACCGCCAGAGCGCCCCGTCTCGCGAGAGCGCCCCACCTTGATTTTACAGCCAGAGGAAGGAAGATCGTATGGCAGAGTGCAACGAAGTTTGTACGATGTGAGAATCTTAGTGTACTAAGGTCACACTTGGCAGGTTTTTGTGTGGAGCTTGTGTCCGCGCGAAGGTACGGATTGACTGCAAAACGTGCAATATGTGTACAAGGTTCATGTCGTATGACCTACAGACAGCAGACCACCTCCACAATACGACCACGAAGGGATGAGATGGTGGGGCGCTCTGGCGGTACTTTACGGTACATGCAGACAGGGAGAGAGAGAATGCTGAGCAGCTATTTCATGCAGAAGAAGTCCATGTGTTTGCACTGACCATTGGGTGTTTCACACTGAGTACTGCCATCACAATCATTACTAGTATAAAGTACTTGTACAGTACCAGCAATGTTGTGGCTGAGAGATGTTTGTACATGCAAATGCTCAGTCAGTCGTGCACACACACACACACACACCTCAGACCTCAGACATGCCCATCGCGGAAGCGATGATAGCGAACAGCTATGTTAGACATAGCAACTTGTGCTGGGATTACACCATTCAACAGCTTGCAAGGCTGATGAATTGACCGCCACTATTTTTAGCCTGGTATCCACCACACAGCTGTTTGAAGTGACTTTTTCTGGCCAGTGAATCCCTATTTTTTTCCATTTTTTTTCTTTTCTATACACACACCACACCACATACTCCAGCATACACTGGCTGTTGGTAACCACCCTGGAGAATGAAAGAAAAGTCAGGAAGAGTTCGAGAAAGAGAAGAAAGACGTGTGCGACCATAATCGTCGGGAATTGAACCCGCAACCTCTCGATTGGAAATCGACTGCACATACCACTGCACCATATGGGGGACACACACACACACACACACACACACACGCGCGCGCGCACACGCGCGCGCACACACACACACACGCACACACACACACACATACACCCCATTTGACCTTTTGAGGCCCATCGCTGGAGGCGATGATAGCAATGCTACAGCAGAAGCCATAGCAACTTGCCCTATCAAAATATGAATAAATAATAATAATAATAATAACTTGTGATCACGCGTGTACACACACACACACACACACACAAACACACACACACACACACACACACACACACACACACACAAGCAAGCACAGACAAACACAGACAAACACAGAGTAAAATTCGTATCGATTACATGAACAGTGCGGCGTACCTGAGAGCACTGCCTCGAGAAAGTAACGAGCATGCTTGTTGCCAGCCAAGTTGGAGCCACTGCCATCCATCTGCAAGACAAGGTGAGAGAGACAGAGAGAGAGAGAAGAGAGAGAGAGAGAGAGAGAGAGAGAGAGAGAGAGAGAGAGAGAGAGAGAGAGAGAGAGAGAGAGAGAGAGAGAGAGAGAGAGAGAGAGAGAGAGAGAGAGAGAGAGAGAGAGAGAGAGAGAGAGAGAGAGAGAGAGAGAGAGAGAGAGAGAGAGAGAGAGAGAGAGAGAGAGAGAGAGAGAGAGAGAGAGAGAGAGAGAGAGAGAGAGAGAGGAGAGAGAGGGAGAGAGAGGGAGAGAGAGGGAGAGAGAGAGAGAGAGAGAGAGAGAGGGAGAGAGAGAGAGAGAGAGAAGAGAGAGAGAGAGAGAGAGAGAGAGAGAGAGAGAGAGAGAGAGAGAGAGAGAAAGAGGGCATGTGAGATAGCCAAAGTACATCATTTCACATTGACCATGTACAGTGTACTAGTACTCATGCACTATTGTCCACGGCTGAAATATGGAAGGAGAATACACAGTGTAGCCGGATTTATTCATAAAAGAAAGATGCTCGTATAAACATCCCAGAGCAGTACATACCGCAATACCCATCCCAGAAAGGATACAGAGGGCAAGAAGAAGTACTCACCCCGAGTGTACTGAGAATAGTAGCTGTTGACATGGTCCCACTAGCGTGCACACCGACCAGCACATCCAGCAGAATATCCGGTGTGTGCTGCCGTAGCAACTGTAACCAAGACAACAAGCATCCAGAACAATTAACAACCAACCGGGTGTGAATGCATTCAATGAATGTCGTCTATGTAGCACTTGCACAACCCCCTTGTGTCATAAAGGAACAAGCGTGCACTCAAGGCTTTCATCAAAATTCCTCTATACACATTGTAAGACGCACTCCTTCTTTGGTCTTGATGGTCAGCGTAAAAGTTGCAACTGTTATTCGGCAAAGCACGGCAGATTCGCAGGCACCCACCCAGACACGTGCGCACACCCACAGCCCAATTGATGGCATCGCATTCATGCTGCATCGTTTTGCGACATAAGTGCAGCAAGCACTGCCAGTACAGTACTATACAATTATCATGTACATGTAGTACAGTACAAATATTGTACTACTACTGACAACAGTGCACTAGTGGCCATACCTGTGCAATGTGTGACAACTGGTCACCCTCCAGCATACAGCTCTGACGCTCAAAACAGACTTGTAGCAGTTCATGCTGACAGTAGAACACAGACAGACAACCAAGAACAAGGAACAGAAAGCACTAAGACTACTTGTAACTACAATACAACTGCTCATACACGTGTTAGGATACTAAAAGGTTGGGGAATGGCGGCATTGTCTAAAAGGCAGGCTGCCGGTGACACACCACATGTATATGTAGTGGGTTGTGTACAGCTGGATAAAGATTAAAGTATCATACTGAAGGAGATTGGATGGCAAAGTTCTGTCATATGGTCAAGCATGCGCATCTAAATGCCACTGACACGATCATGGTGAGTGCGGATCAAGCTTCGCACACAACACCGACAGTCTTTAGACTTTGTAGAATGGACTGCTTGGATCATTGAACAGATCTGGCTGGGTAGAACACTGCTCAGTGAAATGATACTGAAATCGGATCGTGTGAGGCAAGTACAGGTACATGCCGGGTGCTGTGTAGCCCTAGACCCGTGGATACTGGGTTGAGAACGAGTGCAGGGTGCACACCTGACTCATGCGATCGGATTTCATTGAGCAGCACTGTACTAATTAGACGCATATTAGGCTGAGCCTACCTGCTTGACATTCTTGAGTACGGTGCGTGCCTCCTCGACTTCAGCAAGACGAAGATGCAGCACGCACAGAGCAAATGCATCCTTGGCTGACAGCCTATCAAGGGAACAACACAACAAAACAGAGCAACTGTACAGTGAGCCTACATTCATGCACCACGGTAGAAATGCAGGGAATTGTAGAATACAGTGGAGATTGGATATAACGACACTCCTTCGGGAGAGAACAAAATGTCACTATATTCGATCTGTCACTAAACCCGATCTTCACAAAGGACTTACTAAGCGACTTGGGCAACAGAATTGAATCGCTAAACTCAATCTGTCGTTATACGCAAGGTAGTGGTGAAACGAATATACCGAATGTTCGAATATTCGTTCGGTTTGACACATTCGAACGAATATTTCTCATGGCGAATATTCGTTAACCCGATATGCAGAATCAACCGGGCGACTTCAAACTTTCGCAACTTCGTGAATACTTGACCGAATCGCTTCATTGAACAATCTATCGGCATTAGCAAACTCTCAGCTGTTGTTTAGAAGCCACCCGAACGCAATCCGAGGTCCTGGAGGGGAGGTATGGCGCTCGAACGAAAATCACGTCTCAAGCTGTTTGTTGAGCATGTGAGTGTGGAAGGCACTTCAGCTGCGGATGTTTGTGAAAAATGACCTAGAAATGATGGAGAAATATATGCCTTCGTTCGTCATGCCTAATAATAGTGACCAATAAAATGACTGAGAGGAGGGCATGTGATGTCATCCGTGTTAACGAAAGAATATTCGTTCGTTCGTTCGTTAAGCTGAAGAATATTCGACTACTGGGTTTTGATATTCGTTTCACCACTAACGCAAGGTCGTCATATCCGATCTCCACTGTATACCAAGCCAGCCTACACTACACGGTGTCAGTTCTCATGGCAGATGCATAATTTCAGTACAACTGATCTCCCCCCCCCCCCCCCCCCCCCTGTAACCCTATTTTTCCCTGTAGCCATACTTTCCCCTGTAACCCTAGTTTACCAAGTAGCCCTACTTTCTCCTGAAGGCAATGTAAAGGTTAAATGCAGTTAAATTCACATGATCCCATAACAATTATCAACATGTTTGCAAACCTTTTTTGTGAGCTGGACTTGACATAGTCGTAGATGCATTGGACAGCGATCTCTGTAAAGGTAAAGAACACACATATGCACCCACATAGTAGGCCAGAGATATGCCACAAAAAGAAAAGAAAAATGTTACGCCTGCACATGGCATCAGTGAGCATCAGGGAAAGAAAACAACATACACACACACACACACACACACAATCAGCCAGTCCAGGCTTGTAAAGAACAGCAGCGGTACCCGGACTGGACTTCACACACATGCTACCACCGCACACGTATCCTGGTCTCCAGACAGAGGTGCTACAAATACTCACCGTTAGAATAAGAAGCCAGTCCGGATTCCAGAACAAGAAAGGACAACTGGTCCGGGTGTACTGCACTGTAGATACGGAATATGTCATTCGCCACCGACTGAAATTCAATGAAGTAACGACAACGACAACAACAACAACAACAACAACAACAACAACAACAACAACAACAACAACAACAACAACAACAACAACAACAACAACAACAACAACAACAACAACAACAACAACAACAACAACAACAATAACAACAACAACAATAACAACAACAATAACAACAACAACAACAACAACAACAACAACAACAACAACAACAACAACAACAACAACAACAACAACAACAACAACAACAACAACAACAACAACAACAACAACAGCAGCAGCAACAGCAGCACCACAGACACAGACACAGACACAGACACACACACACACACACACACACACACACACACACACACACACATGCACAAACGCACAGAGAAAATATCATGAAACCAAGTGCCAAAGTTGATCTTAAACACTCGTTGATACATGTCAACCGACACGCTTCATCCCGTCTCTGAAGGTGACATCTGAGTAGAAAGAAATAGAACTACAGACGAGTCTAATTCCTGAAAAGCAAGGCCAGGAAGAACTACTTTGCCACGGACCAAGGAAAAACAGCTAAACTATGCTTTAAAGGACAACATGCAACTGACCTCTGGTAGCTCTGCCATGTAGCGTGGTGTAGCAGCCGACATCCACTTCTCCAAACTTAGCACTGTACCAAGACCAAAGCAGGACTTGTGCCGTCCCTCCATCTAAACAGTGAGAAAGCATAACACGGTACACGGCACACACACACACACATGCAGCATACCGACATTAAGAGAATTCATCCTGAACAGCTACAATAAAGTTTCAATTCGTGTATACACACTTCAAAAGTGGTTCAAGACAAAATGCAGACATCATCGAATACGCATTGTTCAGCAGGTCAATCCAATCACAAACTCAGCATTCTAGTGGGAACTTACCGCGCCTATGTACAACACATGCCAGTAACACAACACAATGAGTGTGACTTACCTCAAGTTCTGCTGCTTGTTTGACAGCATGGCTCACAATCTCAGCTATGGACAGAGCAGCCATGCGGTAATAGTACGGTGCCCACTCTGGATGAGCAAAATCAGGTCTGTGCCATACACAAGAACAGTTACAAACACACACGCACGAAGGCACGCACAGACAAAGACACACACACACACACACACACACACACACACACACACACACACACACACACACGTGCGTGCATGCATGCATTCACACACGTAAGTGCTGTCTTATCCATCGTATTCGACTTTCCAAAATACCCCGCATCTTAAACCATTTGACTGGTTCCGATGGGATAGCCCCACTAGGAACCAACTCTCCCTTCCTCTAGCCCGCTCTTCTGCATTGCTACACTCTCCCCCCCCCCCCCCCTTTTCAATGGCTATTTGCATTGGCTTTTGCTGCACCAGAATACAAAGTGCCTTTCTACTTTAACTGCATTCAACGCCTTGCTTTAGACTACAATTTTAGTCCATATTTGCTTCAGGCTTTCTTCTTTGCCTTTTCTTTTCTTTTTGACTTCTTACTCTTTTCCTTGTTAGCCGTGGTTGGCTATAAAAACCCTGCAATCGCCACGCAAAGTGGTCATTGGCTACCCTAGCCATGTATTGTTTGGAATAAAATAAAAAAATTAAAAATAAGTACGCACACAAGGAAAGGAATTCCTCCACCTCTGTCTTCAGTATTCTTCATGCCATAAACATGAAATGTAGAAGGGAAGCCAGGGCAAGATGCTGACGCAAGACGACAATACTCAAAATGGCTTCACTCTAGTAATGAGTAATGACTAATGACTCGTAATGACACAGCGGAAAGACCTTACAAATTCATTCAAAATGGATATCTACACGTTTTCAACATTTCAAGCAAGCAGCCAGCTTGTGCAACTGGATTGTACACCATGCATGTAGACACAAGAGTGTGCACAATGCACAATGTACTGTCGTGGACATGGAAATCCAGTCGAATGACCGGGGCCGGCACCCTCAGCGCGTACAGAACGTTGCATGCAGTGCACATGTTGATCCGACCAGCAGCGCATAATAATACATGCATGTGTGTACTGCTTACCTACGGCTACATGGCCAGCGCCCTGGGGCCGCTAGACGTGCGACCGGATTTCCATGTCCACAACAGTACATCCGCATTGAAATGTCTACATATCGACATTTACGATATGTCATGGACTCTTGTGTTATTTTAGAGTGGACTGGATAGTGGCAGATTCAGTATGGAGGCATTCTTCTCTCTCTCTCACGGCAAAGTGTAGGTGAAATGTCGCTGTAAAAGTGATGATGTCACACACAAACTCACCGACAGCACAGGTCTCCAAGTAGACCGTTACACTCGAACAACAAGGCACACAGATCCGTGCGTTCTTTTTCCTTCGCTTTGATGACCGGATCGTCAACAACACCGCTCAGAGCTTGGAGTTCCATGGCCAGGTCTGAGAGCAAAATCAGGCCGCACGCACGCATGGACACACACGCACGCACGCACGCACGCACGCACAAATACAAAACAGACACAGACATGCATCTGTACTTATGCACTTGCAGCAAAAGCAGCAGGCATTCATCACGGGATGGAAGAGTAATATATATGTTGTGTACATGGCAGATACGCATAACCAGTAAATGCACTAAGGAGCCAACACACTTTGCTAACTTTCCTGTTTTTTTACTTAGCAGTACTGCCAAGTACATAGCTAATCACAGCTGTATTAGAAGCCTGGTCTAAAGGGGCACTCGGGGAATATTATCGGTAGTGTGTTCTCTTCCTTGAAGGCCTCATACAAGGAATGGGGAATCGAGAAACTACAAGTAGACCCAAAACGTAGTTATATGAAGCCATGAAGGGCCAGGTTTGTCTCCTCCCCGGATGGCCTTGATGATGTCAAGAGTGATTAGGAGCTACCGGAGCTCGAAAGGGAACACTGTCGAAATTGTGGAGGTGAAGCGCTGCAGTGTAGATGTCAGTTTTGTTTCTTTCATGTCATAGATATGCCAGCTTCAGATTTCCTGTGAGTGTCTGTCATGCCGAGGTGCTGTGCTCCCGGCTGTTCAAACGATTCGAAGGATGAGGCCTGCAAACATTTGACGTGGTTTACGTTTCCCCACGACGCTGAGTTGCGTCTTTCGTGGGTCAAAAACATGGGCAGAGCAGCTCGAGTCGCTGGTGGGAAAACGCATCCACGCTACCCCTGCATAATAATACCAGAGTATCCCTCAATCTCTCCTTGGTGCGTTGTATCGGACTGGGACATCATAATATACTGGTACAATAATAGAGAGATAGACAGCATTAGACAACCTGTAGGGCATTAAAACTACTAAGCTCTTTGAGCCAATAAAGTAGGATCGATTGTGTTCAGCTCACTTTGAGCCGACTAGCTTTCAGCTCGATCTGCTGATGAGTGGATTTTTGGCTAGCGGGGCGATGAGCAGCCAGCCTGCTGCAATAATGCTCAATGGCTGCCTCTACAATAATTCTCTCTATTTGCGTTGCTCTTGAACCATTGTGTCATGGGCAAGTCAGTTTATTACGAAATACAACGGAAGATCCTATGCTGTGTAGTGAACGAGCCGTTGAGCAATCATGTGGGCTCTCTCCACATACTGGCTACTGACCTATCACTGAAATTCATTGGAGATGGTCGATGCGACAGTACGGGCTGCTCTGCCAAGTATTGCACGTACACAATCATGGAATCGTCCACGGATTTGATCTTTGATTTCGAACTCATGCATGTCTCGATGACCGGTAACAACCGTGGTACCTTGGAGAGAGAAGGGCTGCGAAGCATACTTCACACCCATGTGAAGAAAGCCCTTTCAGCATTGTTCAGTTGGCTACTGGTGAAAGTGCGCAGGTCAAGCAGCCATGATGAGGGACAGCTTCGGAACAAACAACCACCAGTTCAACATCTGGCACTTCGTGAAGTCCAATGTCCATTTCGAAGAAGTTGACCCGGGCCACAACAACGAAGGATATGGAGATGCTGAGGAAATGGATTCCTGCCATTGCAAATCACCTTTGGTGGTGTGCTTCATCTTCCCCAGGAGATCCGGTTCTGCTGGAGGAGAAAACGGTCGCCTCTGCAGCACCACATCGCGAACGTTCATTCCTGGGTTGGTGCCACGAAGTTCGTGAAGTGTGCCCATGAAGATCTTCCGGAAGATTCGAGCACACAGTGGCTTGCCAGTGGATCCGCGCAACACACAGTGGCTTGCCAGTGGATTCGCGCAGCACACAGTGGCTTGCCAGTGGATCCGCTCAACACGCAGTGGCTTGCCAGTGGATCCGCGCAACACACAGTGGCTTGCCAGTGGAT